CTGCCGAGGTCCTGCCTTGCCTCCGCCCTCTGTCATGGCAGGAATTTCTCTCCCCTTTGTCTCTCCCTGCCTGCACCTTCCCCACACGGTCAGGGCCCAGGCGTTCATACCTCTGCTCCCACCCCTAGAGCAAAGGGCCCAGCAAGGCCTCACCACAAAGGGGTCGGGGGGCTCGCACCTGTGCCGCCTCCCCCCGGCGGGGCCCGGTGCTGGCCTGGAGGTCTCGGGTCTGGCTTCTCTTAACCTCCCTCAGCCCTGGTCTCCAGCCACGTGTGGCCAGATTCCTGTGTTTGCAGACTTGGCCTTTCAGGGAGATAGAGTTTTCTAAGAGGTTTTCCCAAAGGATCCACCAGGTCCTTCATGCCATAAGGATTACTGCGCAGTCAGCACGTGCCAAAGAGCGTGCTGGGACCTGGGATAGAGGAGCGATCCAGTTCAACAATTCCTGTCTCCTTGGGGCTTATATTCTGGTGAGGAGATGGATTAGAGAGAAGATGGATAAACTTGAGAGGGTGGTGGATATGGTGATAGAGGACAAAGAGGAAAAAGTAAAGCAGGAGAGGAGGTGGGTGTTTGGGGGTGCAGGGGATTGGGAGTGGAGGCTAGCAGAGGCCTCCCCAAGGAGGTGATATTTGAGTAGAAGGCCTGCAATGAGGGAGGAAGGTCACTAGGTAGAGGTGGGAGGGAGGAGGTTTTTGGGACCCTGGGGTGGGAGTGTGTCTGACACAGGAATGAGGAGGGGACAGGAGGGATGAGGCCTCGGCAAGGGGCTGGTGGATGATGGAGAGCGTAGTGAGGTCACAGAGAGGGTGCAAAAAGTTCGGCACACTGCACGGTGACAGGCGTGGTCCCCCCCGAGACTGCCCTCACTTCATACACCAGTTTTGAGCTCATGACTGTCCTCAGTGGGCCGTTATTAAATGACTCACTGAACTGAGGTAGCACTGAGATTAGAGTTGTATTGTAGCAAAACGATCCGTGTTTGAACCGACCAACGGATGGTGTGCTCAGGCGGAATCCACACATGAAGCTTCTGATGGATGGCCCTGTCCCCATGGAGTTCTGGATATTGAACTCCTGGACATGTGAAGCTGAGAGTGTTCCCTGGGGCTTAATCACACACTGGCCCGTGGCTACTCTTTAGCCTCCATTCTCCAGAGATGGCACCACCCAAGGGCCTCATCATAAATCACAGGGTTAGGCTGAGGTCTGATGTCCCCGACTAACAAGAGGCTCCTACCAGTCAGGACATTCCAGGGCCTGGGGAACAACTCCCAGTGGCTGAGGACAGAGGCCGGACCTCCAGCGGAGGTGACTCCCTTGCCACACGGCGGGTCAGGAGTGGGGTCAGGGGAACGGGGCTGCAGTCGCAGGCCCTGAGCAGCGATGCAGCCTGATCCACGTTAGATCCGGCTCACTGGCTGTCCCTGTGGCTGGGACGCTGATGAGGATGGTGCCGCCGCCGAGGAGACCCGCTGGTGCAGCAGCAGTGGGGCTGGGAACAGGCGTGGGGACCCTGCATTCGTTTGCAGGGCCTTCCCCGGCTGCGCTGTCGGACCCCTGGATCCTTGGGCCATGACGAGGGCTCTGGGGGTGCAGGAGGCGGTCCCAGCTTTGTTAGGGAGAAGAGGGCCAGCTCTGGGGCCTGGGCCTGGGCCTCTGGGGGCCCTGGGACAAGGAGGAACTGGGCTGAGGCCCCGGCCCTGTGTGCTCTCTGGTTCGCCTCGCTCTGCCTGTGTCCCAGGGCCTCGAGCAGGTGGACACTGAGCCTGTGCCTCGGGCTGTCCCAGGGCAGCCCCAGGAGGGCACACCCAGTCTGCTGGGCCTCTGCTCCCCGCTGTCCGGCAGTCCCTTCTCCTCCCCTTCTGGCTTTTGTCTAATCCAGACCCCTCTCCCTGAGGCTCCCACCTCTTCCCTCCTCGGGGCCTCCCCCCGGGTCCCAGCCACAGCCCTCCCTCTTGCCCTGGCGGCTGGCTTCCCCTCTGACCCACAGGCGGGACCACGGTGTCCTCGTGACTGCGTGCTCTGCACGTTCCTGCGCACTCGTACTTAAAAGACATCGAGGTCTGATATACTAGCAGAACTCACCATTTAACCACTGTAGCCGCACAGGTTGGAAGTGGTAAGTGCCTGACAGGGCTGTGCTCTCATGAGCCACGCCCACCTCCAGGCTCTGTCTCGGTGCCACACTGAGACTGTACCCAGGAGACATGCTCTCTTCCACCAAGTTTGTTTTTAAAGGACAAAGGCAAGGAACCGACAATTAAATGAAGACTCGCAAACGTCCAGCAATGGCGGCTGGGCTCCTTGTGGCGCCCGACCGCTGTGCTGGGGAAACAGGCGAGGACATCCCCTTGTGAGCCCTGGCAGCTTCCTAAGCGCTGCCCCATTAGTGCCCCGCCCTTCCTAAGGGGACTTCAGTGCTTGGCCTTGAAACCTCTAGATCCCTCTAACTAGGGCTGGACCCTCATCCCCCAAATCTCAGTGTGCTGAGGAGAAAATGTTTGTTTTTCAGAAGCCACAGGAAGAAAAAATTATTTTCTGTATGTCAAAGCCATCCTAGCAAATGTTTTTCCTACAAGGGAGTCTTGTCAAGACAATTTAATCGAAGAGTCTGTTGCTTTGGCCTGTGAAAGGAACTGTTAAATTTTATTTTTTTAATGTATTTATTTTTCCTCCCCTTTACTCCCTTCCACTTTGCACCACCCCTCGCCCCAGCATTCCTCCTCCCAGCCCCAGACCTCAGACCATATCCATGGGTCGTACATATAAGTTCTTTGGCTTCTCCATATCCTCTAATATTCTTACCCTCCTTCTGTCTATTTTGTACCTACTATTTATGCTGCTAATTCCCTGTGCCTTTTCCCCCATTCTTTCCCCTCCCACTCCCCTCGATCTCCATTTTTATGATTCTGAGGAACCTTTAAATTTTATAAAAGCTTGCGATTTTGATTGCTTGTCTTCTTTAGTAATGTGTTGCCCTGGCAATGCTATTTAAATTCACATCTCTGTTTTCTAGGAGGTATAAATACCTGTGAGTCCTCGTTAAGCCAGAAGGGGAGCATTGGCACATTTCTATTCTCCTAGGCATAGGAGGTAAAATGAACAGTTGAAGGCAAGGTTCCTTTTTTAAAAAAATATTTTTATTTATTGTTTCTTTAGAGAGAGTGGAAAAGAGGGAGAAGGAGATGGAGAGAAACATCGAGGTGTGAGAGATGCATCGATTGGTGGCCTCTCGCAGGCCCCATTCTGGGACCTGGCCTGCAACCCAGCTGGTGCCCTGACTGGCAATGAATCTGGTGACCCTTTGTTCGCAGGCCCGCACTCAATCCACTGAGCCACAGCAGCCAGGGCCGAAGGCCAGATTTCTGCATAAGTACCACGCACTAACTGATTGAGCCACTGGAGCTCCTGAAGGCAACTTTTCTTAAAGGAATAAGTTGCCCCAGCTGATGTGAATTGGTGGGTTGAAAGCTGGCCTGGGAACCAAAAGGTCACTGGTTCCACTTCCAGTAGGGCATGTGTCTGGGTTACTGTCCAGGTCCCTCTAAAAGTAAATAAATAAAATCTTTAAAAAACCAAAAATAAACAAAAAAAGAAAAAACAGTTTGATGCACTGGCTGGTGTGGATCAGTCGATTGAGCGCCAGCCTGAGAATCAAGGGGTCACTGGTTCGATTCCCATTCAGGGCATGGGCCTCGGTTACTGGCCAGGTCCCAGTTGCTCGAGAGGCAACCACACATTGATGTGTCCCTCCCATTTCTCCCTCCTTTCCCCATCTCTAAAAGTTAATTAATTAATTAAATTAAAAAACCGTTTGAGAGTCTTGTCTCATTGAAACCAACCCACAGGAGGCAAGGACACCTGTTGTGAGGTGGAGGGTAGGGAGCAGGAGGGCAGAGGTGGAGGTTGAGAACCCCTCTGGGAATAAGAAGACTGAGGGCGCGTACAAGCAGAGTGACATGGCACCATGGGGCCCGTTGGCTGAGGTCAGGGACCCTGCGCCTGTCCTGGAGCCCTCTGCGAGGTAGCAGGGGATTTCCCCCCAGCGGTTCCTGACCACCCATGTGTAGGACCAGGGAGGGAGGGTGGGTGGTGATCCAGGGCGGTGGGTCTGCAGAGGGAGAAGGGCCCAGGGGATTGTGGGTACGGACTGTGGGTACGTGTGGTGGGGACGAAAGATCTCCCAGCTCCAGCTTCTCAGGGAAGGAAGAGCCATGGCAGGGGAGGGGCTGAAAGTTGGAGAGAAAAAGGCAGGGCCTGGCGGAGGAGGGGGAGCCTGGAGCCACCGGGCTCTGAGGACATGGGAGTTTACACACTCCTTCTTCCCTGCTGTTTCTTTAGATCTTGGCCTCCGCTTTCTTCTAAATACACAGCCATCTTGTATTCCAGCCCCAGTGAGAGAGGGAGAAAGACTTAATTCCTTGAGCCTCTCTCTACAGAAACCCAGCTGGCACCGCTCAGGGCCAAGGAGTTCCTGAGGGTGTGGGCGCCTCATGGTGTTGATATGAACCTTGTCTTTGCCCCACTTACCCTCGGTGCAAGGAGCTGGGCGCAGGGTGTTGGGTGGTCTTCAGGGCCTCTGCAGCACCAGCTGCCTCCAAGGCCTGTCAGAGTGAAGTGCAGGGGGGTGGGCACAGGAGCCCTGGCACCCTGCGGAGACCGGGATAGACAGTGGGAGGACCTGGGAGGTGGGGAAGGGTCTGACCGGCATCTTCTGATCCGTCGTAGGAAAAAGGCAGATGCCTCCCACTGAGCCCCAGCCCCGGAATGTTGGCCACCGCCCAGATTCCTACCTGCCAGGACATCCTGGCGCCAGAAACTGGGGGAGGCGGAGGGTAACTCTGGGAGTGTCAGCAACTTGCCTGTCCAGAGTCATCATAAAACATCTTGGAGAGGACGGGATTAGAGCTAATTCGATAGAGTTCAGAAAGCAAAGTATTGTAGTGGGCGCCCCATAAATAACTGCCGCCTCATGGATTACCTGGACTAAACTCAAGATGAGTCTTGGAGGAGTGGGAGTGACCCTGCGCGACGCGGGTCTGCCCCTGCCTCAGAGGCCTGAGGAGACCAGGCCTGGTGGGGAAAGGGCGGAAGCTCAGTTGGCCTGGGTTTGGGCCGCAGGTGGCCTTGCGAAGCTGGGAAGACCGAGCGGGCGGAGGCCTGAGACCGGGGCGAGGGGGAACTAGGGTGACCGTGTGGCGGTAGTCACCGGCCTTCGGTAGGGGCTCTGAGGACGGCCCTTGGGATCCCCGCGGTGCTGGACGTCCCCATTCCCCGCCTCCTTCCTGCCGTGGGAGTGGCCTGCGGGGACACAGGGAGGGGGGAATAGCACAGACTCTGCCCACCTAAAGGTGGCTCCCTGCTGACGTGGGTTCTTAGCGTGCGAATCAAAGGAACCTTGGCGGTAGACGGCCTCGAGATGAGGCACCTGACCACGCAGCAGTTCCTGGCACTATTAGCCCCCCACCGCCTGCCGGAGCGACCGGAGAAAGAGCAACCGCGTCGGTTCCACCTTAAGGGGCGGACACTGCGGGCTGGGGCGGGGCTCCTCCTCGAAGTTCCCATTTCACTGCGCTCTGCGGTGGGTGGACACTCTGCGGCAGCGACGTCAGGGCAGGTTTCCAGTCGCCTCTTCATCACAGACTGCGTCTGGTTCCGGTTCCACAGGCACCATAAGCCAGGACACCGAGATAGACATGAAGGAAGTGGAGCTGGAGCCCGAGAAGCAGCCGATGAACGCGGCGTCGGGGGCGGCCGTGTCCGCGGTCATGGCGGGCGGCACCGAGAAGAACGGTCTGGTGAAGATCAAGGTGGCCGACGACGAAGCGGAGGCGGCGACGGCCAAGTTCACGGGCTTGTCTAAAGAAGAGCTGCTGAAGGTGGCAGGCAGCCCGGGCTGGGTGCGCACCCGCTGGGCGCTGCTGCTGCTCTTCTGGGCCGGCTGGCTCGGCATGCTGGCGGCCGCCGTGGTCATCGTCGTGCGGGCGCCGCGCTGCCGCGAGCTGCCTGAGCAGAGCTGGTGGCACAAGGGCGCCCTGTACCGCATCGGCGACCTTCAGGCCTTCCGGGGCGGCGACGCGGGAGAGCTGTCTGGTGAGCGCGCTGCACCCCTTTCCCGATCGCTCAGCTCGGCCCTGACTCCGCAGTCCGGGAATTCTCTCCGGGGACCTAGCTCCTCCTCCCCCCCAGGCGCCTGGAAACCCAGTCACAGCGTTTCTGAACCAATGAGTTAGGCTGCTTGCATCAGCTCCCTGAGTCTCGTGATCCAGCCTCTTCCTCTCGCTTATTCCGGAGGCGGGAGACGAGGGGCCTCTCGGAACGCCTCACTGTCACCCTATTCCCTGTTTCAGGCCTGAAGGAGCATCTCCCTTACCTGAGCACCCTCAAGGTGAAGGGCTTTGTGCTGGGCCCCATTCACAAGAACCAGAAAGATGACGTCGATGGGACCGACTTGGAGCAGATCGACGCCACTTTTGGCTCCAGGGAGGATCTGGACAGTCTCCTGCAGTCGGCCAAGAAAAAGGGTGGGCGTCCTCGAGTGGGCCGGGAAGCAGCCAGGAAGGGCTTGGGGTTCTGGACAGAGCAAAGCCAGGCTAGGACTGTTGCCTGGTTTGCTCCTGCCTGGCTCTATGCTTTCCTAGGGCAGGAGCACAGGAGCTTTCCTGGGCTTTGGGCTGAAGGAGATGTGCGGGGTGGTTGGGGGGCTTTCTACTGGCTGTACAGTCATTTCACGCTGGGCTCCAGTGCCGTTATGTTTCAAATGTGGGCTTTACTTAAATCAGTGGTTCTTAAACGTGAAAAGAGTGGACCCTCCTAGGGAAAAAAATGGAGATAAAATCATTTCTTAGTTAAAAGGGTTCTCTTTGGGTGTGGGAGCCCAGGGCCCCTAGCTCAGCCTGTCTGTGAACACCCTTAACCTTCTGCCCTATTAGATTTCAAGGCCCCTCTGTAGCTCTGTTTCAATGGGCTGAGTGAAATTCACCAGGGTTCGAACCTAAGCTTTTGTACCAAAATATACAAAGGACATAGTCTGACTTGTATGAGTTGATTTCCTGCTTCTCAGCCCACAGTCTTTCTCACCACGGCCTCTTGCTGCCTTGTTCTAGGCCTCCGGGTCATTCTGGACCTCACTCCCAACTACAGGGGCCTGAACTCGTGGTTCCTTCCCAATCAGAGTGACACTGTGGCCACCAAGGTGAAGGTGAGTGTGCTGGTGCTGACGGCAGCGGGGAGCTGGGCAGGGGGCGCTGTGGGCCCTTCCCCAGCAGCCGCCTACACCGGCCCCGCCCCAGCGGAGGGGCCGTGCTCCTAGGAGCCAAGCAGGGGCGCTCCCACAGGGGCCAGCGACGCACCCCTGTTCTTGCTTGTTCCTTTTTGACGGCTCATTATCCTTGTTTCTTTGTCTCTGGTGGTGACCGTGGCAGAAAGGGAGCGTCTCGGATATTAACCTGGGTTTGACTTTTCTTCCTTTTGGGTGAGGGACCCTTTCTCAGGGTGCATCTGCCCGGCTGGTGTTTCAATTCTTGTTACATGTGTTTGCTGGAGTATATCCCAGGCTGATATTGTGGGCACTGGGGTCTTCCTGTGAGTCTGAGATTATGCCAAGCATTTTATATGTTTTCTTATGCCCTGTTTACCTAAATAGGCCCCTATCGTTATCCCCAAAGTGTAAATGAGGTTCGGAGGCCACAGTGTGTCTGGGATTTGAGGTCCAGGTATCCTTATTTCTCCAATCCGACTTCCCCGAAGGGTACAGACTCAAAGTCAATATCCAACAGGCTGGGAGTCACCCACACTCCTCCGGCCTGGGTTCTGGAACCCTCATCAGTTCAGAGCCGATGGAACAAAAGTGGAGGCAGACTGGCACTTTGCTGGCGGCCCTGATTCTGGGGTAGAATTCTGTACCCCCAGCTTTTCTGTAGGCTCCCTGGGGTCATCCATTCATCAGTTAGCAGATTGCTAGAAGACCTTTTAAAGTTATCGATAAGGGCCCTGGTTGGTGTGGCTCAGTGGATTGACCACTGGTCTGTGAATCAAAGTGTCACCGGTTTGATTCCCAGTAAAGGCACATCCTTGGGCGGCAGGCTGGGTCCCCAGTTGGAGGTGCAAGTGTACCAACCACACATTGATGTTTTCTCTCTCTCTTTCTCCATACCTCTCCTCTCTCTAAATAGATAAGTAAAATGAAAAGAAACTTACTTATAAGGGATGTTTTCACATGGCGATGAATGAAAGAGTGGTAGCCTCCCATGAGTGAAAACAGAGATGAGAGGAGAGTGGAGCAGAGAGAAAAGGGGGGAACTGGGGCAGCGGGAACGGGGCTTGGATCTGTGCCCGCAAAAGGAAGGACTTCAGGCCTGGGCCTGTCGGGCAGAGCTGGCTGTTCTTTTCAAACCTTCATCTGAACCGCCCTGGGGCTGTGCTCTAAATTTCACTCTTTCTTTCTTGGCTCTGCTCTGATGGCTTTCACCGCAGCCCCCGGAGTCAGACATTGTGAGAGGAGCCAGAACAGTTTTCCTGGGATCTTGACTAGATTTGAGTCTGTGTCTGTGCCTTGAGCTTCCTCCTTGCTTTTCTGAGACTCTTTTCCCATCTCTGAAATGGGGATACCCGCATTCCACACGTGGTAAGTATTAAGTGAAGTTATGTTTATTACCACACTTTCTCTCTTGGGCCTTTACTGTGGTTGCCAAAGGCAAAGCCTTACCATTTGTCATGGAGAGGAGTAGAGAAGAAAACTGCTGTATCCCTAAGACAGTCAGTGATAGATTAGAATGACTGGACCAAGGGCTACACCTGTATAATAAAGGTGGGGAAAGGAGACCATATGAGACTCTCACTCAAGTGACTGTCCCAAGTCCCAAGGCATGGCAGGCACGGTTTACTGTGGGCTGGAATTTCCTGAGCCTTTGCATCTCAATGTTAACACCTTTTCTGTTCTTTTTGCCCCTCCTCGCTATAGGACGCTCTGCCGTTTTGGCTGCAGGCCGGTGTGGATGGGGTCCAGATTCGGGATGTGGAGAGTCTGCAGGTGAGTTCCCTTTGCGTGTGAGCGGCAGGGCCTGGGTGAGAACCGCGGGACTCGCCAGGGCCTGGTAGTTGAAGCCTCTGCTTTTGTCTTGTAGGAGGCGCCATCATACTTGGCCGAGTGGCACAACATCACCAAGAACTTCAGTGAAGAAAGGTGAGCGCCACACGCCTTGTCCCCACCTTGGCTCCACCATGGGAACCTTCTGTGGGGTGCTAGTCCCCGGGAAGGGGCAGTTTCCAGCCGATTCTTCCTTTCTGGTGCGGAACCAACCTTGACCCGTGCTCTACTCCCTGCAGGCTCCTGATCGCAGGGACCGAGTCCTCCAGTCTGGAGGAGATCCCGAGCCTGCTCTCATCGAGCAAGGACGTGATGTTGACCAGCTCATACCTGTCGGCCTCCGATTTCACTGGGCAGCAGACAGAAGCCCTGGTCACCCAGTATTTGAGTGTGACTGACAATCGCTGGTGCAGCTGGAGTGTGAGCACCACAGTGGCGGGAGGGGGGCAGGATTTGTTTTGGAGGAAAGGGGCGTTGGGATACGGGGGCAGCGTGGGCTTTGGGGCTCACCAGCGCGCCCGCTCCTACAGTTGTCTCAGGCGGGGTTCCTGGCTTCCTTCGTGCCGGCTCACCTCCTCCGCCTCTACCATCTGCTGCTCTTCACCCTGCCGGGGACCCCGGTGTTCAGCTCTGGGGATGAGATTGGCCTGAAGGCAGCTGCCCTTCCTGGACAGGTATTTGGTGCCGCTGCCCCAGCACGTCGGGGAGGTGTGTTTTTCCAGCACAGTGGTCCTGCGGGTGTTGCCTGACGGGCATGGACCTTGCGATGCAATGATGTTGATTCCCAGTCATTAACCTGGTTGGTGGCTGTGTGGTCTTGCAAGCCATTTCACTTCTTGGGTTGTCTCTCCTGTGATACTGCATTTCCAGTTGGGCGGTTAGGATTACATTACGGCTTACTTTGAAATACAGTGTCTGGTACAGGTCCGTGTCCCATCACTCATTCACTCATTCACTCATTCTGCAGTGGGTACTCTGTGCCCTGCAGGAACCCCCGGTTTAGTGGGGGGGCCAGGTGAGGGAGAGAAATGCATGCAGTGTTTGTTGTGATAAGGATCTGTGAGCTCCAACAAGACTGTGATAAGGGTGAGATCAGGATGGCACTCGCTTTGCTCTAGTCACAGGACTAGAGGTGACACCTGAGCTGATGTTTACAGAATCTGTCATGTATTAATTCCACCAAGTTTTATTGAGTAAATTCCCATGTGCCATGCACGGAGGATACTGAAATGCATGAAAAGGCAGGAGGCGGGGAAATTAGATAATCAGGTGTAATCGGGAGCCCAGGTGCTGACGAGTGCTGTGCAGAAGGAAGAGTGGTAAGGGCCTGGAGAACAGGGGCTGGGGGTTATATGTCTATATTGTTAAAGGTTTTATTCAGTTATTTTTAGAGAGAGGGGAAGGGAGGGAGAAAAAGAGCGAAACATCAATGTGTGAGAGAAACATTGACAGGTTCGCTCTCTCAATATCCCTTCGAGGGACTTCGCCCAGAACCCAGGCCTGTATCCTGAATGTGAATCAAACCAGGGACCCCTAGGTTTGTGGGATGATGCACAGCCCTATGAGACACTGAGCAGAGACGGGAGGGAGGGAGGAAGCCAGCCTGTGGTGTCTGGGAGAAGCGCCCTCTTGGCTGAGGGGACAGTTCTAGCAAGGACCAGAGGGGGGACCCGCCCGCTGCTTGTGCAGGGCAGTGGGGTATGATGGGGAGGGTCTGCGTGTGCGTCGTCCGGGTAGGAACGGGGAGGAGAGAGGGGGAGCGGGCTCAGGCTTTGCCCATGTCCTGTTTCCCTGCTTTACAGCCTCTGAAGGCACCATTCATGCCGTGGGATGAATCCAGCTCCACGAACAGCTTAGGACCTGTGAGCTCCAACATGACCGTGAAGGTAAGGGTTTTAGATGGCGGGGCCCGACCAGCAGCGGGCGGCCAGGTGGCTTGTAGAGTTTGCACCCGGGGCAGTCCTTCGTCCCTCCTGCTATGTCTTCATCCTCTTCATCGCTGGCAGGGCCAGAGCGAGGATCCCGACTCCCTCCTCGCCCTGTTCCGGCGGCTGAGTGACCTTCGGGGGAAGGAGCGCGCCCTGCTGCACGGAGACTTCCACGTCCTCTCCTCGGGGCCTGACCTCTTCTCCTACCTCCGCCAGTGGGACCAGAACCAGCGTTTCCTGGTAGTGCTGAACTTCGGGGATGTGGGCCAAGCTGCCGGGCTGGGGGCCTCCGGCCTGCCCGCCAGCGTCACCCTGCCTGCGCGGGCTGACCTGATGCTCAGCACTCAGCCCGGCCGCGTGGAGGGCGCCGCTCTGGAGCTGGAGCACCTGAACCTGCAGCCCCACGAGGGGCTGCTGCTCCACTTCCCCTACGTGGCCTGACCAGGACCCCGCCCTTCCCCTCACGCCCCAGGCCCTTTGGGTTCTGGTTTGTCCCTCTCTTTTCTAAATTATTCTGCCAATGTATTTTTTTGCTATAATTAACGTTTTTAAAAAATGTTTTGTAAGCTTTTAAATTCATTCATTATTAGACAGTGGGGAAGGGAGGGAGAAAGAGGGAGAGAAACATCCATGTGTGGTTGCCTCTTATACGCCCCCTGCTGGGGACCTGGCCCACAACCCAGACTCGTGCCCGGACTGGGAATCGAATCAGTGACCCTTTGGTTCACAGGCTGCCGCTCAATCCACTGAGTCACAGAAGCCAGGGCTTCTCTTTTTTTCTTTTTGTCACAGATCACAGATGAGCACCCAATAACTCGTTTTCTGACTTCAAATATGAGTCAACGCTGCCTGCCAAGGTCCTGCCTTGCCTCCGCCCTCTGTCATGGCAGGAATTTCTCTCCCCTTTGTCTCTCCCTGCCTGCACCTTCCCCACACGGTCAGGGCCCAGGCGTTCATACCTCTGCTCCCACCCCTAGAGCAAAGGGCCCAGCAAGGCCTCACCACAAAGGGGTCGGGGGGCTCGCACCTGTGCCGCCTCCCCCCGGCGGGGCCCGGTGCTGGCCTGGAGGTCTCGGGTCTGGCTGCTCTTACCTCCCTCAGCCCTGGTCTCCAGCCACGTGTGGCCAGATTCCTGTGTTTGCAGACTTGGCCTTTCAGGGAGATAGAGTTTTCTAAGAGGTTTTCCCAAAGGATCCACCAGGTCCTTCATGCCATAAGGATTACTGCGCAGTCAGCACGTGCCAAAGAGCGTGCTGGGACCTGGGATAGAGGAGGGATCCAGTTCAACAATTCCTGTCTCCTTGGGGCTTATATTCTGGTGAGGAGATGGATTAGAGAGAAGATGGATAAACTTGAGAGGGTGGTGGATATGGTGATAGAGGACAAAGAGGAAAAAGTAAAGCAGGAGAGGAGGTGGGTGTTTGGGGGAGAAGGGGATTTAGGTTATGGAGGTGACATCTGAATAAACGGCCTGCAACGAGGAAGGGAGGTCACTAGGCAGCGGTGTGGGGAAGGGGCTTTGCGGGGCCCTGGGGTGGGACTGTGTCTGACAGTGCGAGGAATGAGGAGGGGACAGGCATGGAGGAAAGGGGCGCACAGGTGATGAAGAGCGTAGTGAGGTGGTCGCACAGCGGGTGCAGAGAGTTTGCCACGCTGCACGGTGACAGGCCCGGTCCCCCTGACTGCCCTCACTTCACTCACCAGCTTGGAGCTCATGACCCCTCAGGGGGCCATTGCTTGTAGGACTCAGAACACAGGGAGCAGTGAGATTAGAGTCTCATTGTAGGAAAAGGATACATGTTTTGTTTTTAAAGGTTTTATTTACTGTTTTAGAGAGGGGAAGGGAGAGAAAAAGGAGAGAAAGATGATGTGTGACAGAATCAGCAATTGGTTGCCTCTCCCACTCCTGCAACTGGGGACCTGGCCAGTCACCCAGGCAGGGGCCCCAACTGTGAATCAAACCTGCAAGCTTTCGATTCGCAAGGCGGCACTCAAACACCGAGCCACGCCAGCCAGGGTAGGGTATGTGGTTGAACCGACCAAAGGACGGGGTGCTCAGGGAAGAATCTGCACATGGAGCTTCTGACGAACGGCCCTGTCCCCGTGGAGCGCTGGACACCGACCTCCTGCCATACGTCGCTGTAGCCAAGGAGGGGAGCTCCTCCAGCCTTTGGCGTCCAGTGTTTCCTGGGGCTTAATTATGGGGGACGCCAGCCTGCAAAGTCCCCTGGTTTGCCGCCAATGAAGAATGAGTTGTTCCAGACACCGTCTCCCTGTCAAGGAAAGGGGAAGGCGATTCCCTCTTGTGGGGAATGCCCCGAGCCTCCGTGCTCAGTGGCTTATATTGAGAATGTTACAAGCAGGGGACAGGTAGCAGAAATGTATAGGTAATCTAATGACATCAGTAGCTTAAGCTTACAGAGAATAGGTGTTTAAAGAAGACAATGGCAGGAACACCGAACTCTGTCGGGTCCAAGTTGAGCAAACATAGTGCCAGGTGGCATTTGGGTGAGGGTCCAGGAATTTTGTATATTTCTTTCCCAGGCTTGAGCTGGGTATCTGGTATAAGATTAACAGAGCTTCAGGGAGAAACAAAGCAGGCTTCAAGCAGTGTAATTTACTTTTAGGCCCGATTTCCCCCAGGGGCCCTCGGACTTATCATTGGGTCTTGCTCCTCTCGATATTGCCAGTGTCCTGGCCAAGGCTTACGGGTCCTCTCCCAGGCACCAGCTTGCGGAGGACTACAGCCCGCATTACCACTCAAAGCGGCCCCCTACACTTAATCACATACCGGTCCGTGGCTGACCTTTAGCCCCCTTTCTCCAGCGATAACACCACTCAGGGGCCTCATCATAAATCACAAGGTTAGACTGAGGTCTGATGTCCCCGACTAACAAGAGGCTCCTACCAGTCAGGACATTCCAGGGCCTGGGGAACAACTCCCAGTGGCTGAGGACAGAGGCCGGACCTCCAGCGGAGGTGACTCCCTCGCTGCCGCACGGCGGGTCAGGAGTGGGGTCGGGGAACGGGGCTGCAGTTGCAGGGCTTGAGCAGCCACGCAGCCTGACCCGCGTTGGAACCAGCTCACTGGCTGTCCCTGCGGCTGGGACGCTGATGAGGATGGTGCCGCCACTGCTGCCACCGAGGAGACCCGCTGGGGCGGCAGCAGTGGGGCTGGGAACAGGTGTAGGGACCCTGCATTCGTTTGCAGGGCCTTCCCCGGCTGCGCTGTCGGACCCCTGGGCCATGACGAGGGCTCTGGGGGTGCGGGAGGCGGTCCCAGCTTTGTCAGGGAGAAGAGGGCCAGCTCCGGGGCCTGGGCCTCTGGGGCCCTGGGACAAGGAGGAACTGGGCTGAGGCCCCGGCCCTGGTGCTCTCTGGTTCGCCTCGCTCTGCCTGTGTCCCAGGGCCGTGAGCAGGTGGACACTGAGCCTGTGCCTCGGGCTGTCCCAGCGCAGCCCTGGGAGGGCACACCCAGCCTGCTGGGCCTCTGCTCCCTGCTGCCAGGCAGTCCCTTCTCCTCCCCTTCTGGCTTTTGTCTAATCCAGGCCCCTCTCCCTGAGGCTCCCACCTCTTCCCTCCTCGGGGCCTCCCCCCCCCCCCACCCCGTCCCAGCCGCAGCCCTCCCTCTTGCCCTGGCGGCTGGCTTCCCCTCTGACCCTCAGGTGGGACCCCGGTGTCCTCATGACTGCGTGCTCTGCACGTTCCTGCGCACTCGTACTTAAAAGACATTGAGGTCGGAAATACTAGCAGAACTCACCATTTAACCGCTGTAGCCGCACAGGTTGGAGGTGGTAAGTGCCTGACACAGCTGTGCGCCCATGAGCCGCGCCCGCCTCCAGGTTCTGTCTCGGTGCCACACTGAGACTGTACCCAGGAAACACGCTCTCTTCCACCAAGTTTGTTTTTAAAGGACAAAGGCAATGAACCGACAATTAAATGAAGACTCGCAAATGTTCAGCAATGGCGGCTGGGCTCCTTGTGGCGCCCGACCGCTGTGCTGGGGAAACAGGCGAGGACATCCCCTTGTGAGCCCTGGCAGCTTCCTAAGCGCTGCCCCATTAGTGCCCCGCCCTTCCTACATCCAGGAAGGCTGTCGAGCACCTGCAGTCACCGAGGCTGTGTCATTAGCTCCCAGCCACACTGTGAGGGGGAAATTCTCCCTGCGATGTCAGGGGAGGGAAGGGGTCAGAGCACCTCTCCCAGGGCCGCCTGATGCCTGCAGGGCTCCCCTGAAGCAGGTCGGGGAGAGGCAGGTGGCTCCTCCAGCCATGTCCCCTCCGCTGTTGCTGAACTCACTCACCACTTTCTCAGCCACGGCTCTGCTCCTGGTACCCTCCTCACCTGCCTGCCCTCCAGGCCAACCATGACCTCCGCTCACAGTTTCCAGTCCTGAAAAGCCCCAGAGTGTGGAATCCTGGGCACTGAGGGCCACCTTCGAAAATTGGTTTAATGAACTGTGGCTGGTGGGGCTCAGTGGATTGAGTGCCAGCCTGGGAACCAAAGGGTCGCCAGTTCGATTCCCAGAGGGGGCAGAAGCCTGGGTTGTGGGCCAGGTACCCAGTAGGGGGCTCGTGAGGGGCAATGGCACATTAGTGATTCTCTCCCTCTCTGTCTCCTCACCTTCCCCTTTCTCTAAAATTAAATAAATAAATTCTTAAAAAGAATTTGTTTAGTAAGACCTCCATTTTTTTTTTTTCTCCTGGAAGTCATCCAGGAGGCGGCCAAGGGCCCAGAGAGGTAAGGGGACCCTCCTGGACACCAGTGGAGCTGCCATTGGACTGAGGCCTTAGCTCCGTGGGTTCGGCTCCCCGTGCCACGGGATGGGTCTTGCCCCAGGGCCCCCGGCCACTAACCTGCCTGTGGGTCCAGGAGGGGTTGACATTCTGCCTGAGTCATTCTTCCGGTGCCAGGCAGTGTGCTGCGGTGCTGGGGACAAAAAGGGGACTGAAGTGCTGCCTGCCCCCACCCAGCAGTTCTGGGGCTTTACTGATGAGAGTGGTAGCAGGTGGACCAGTAATTGCAGCCCCGAGATCAGGGCTATGGGCCTCAGGGAGCCGGGCCCTGGGGGACAGAGGCCGGGTCCAAGGCAGGAGAGATCAGGCCAGCTTCGGAGTGTACCTACATCCGAGCTGACAGCCAGGAGCCGGTAGGCACTTTGTGACGCGCCGATAGGACAGGGCCTACCGGGTAGAGGGACACTGTGCCCAGCCAGCCTCTCATTTGAGACAGCACGATGCGTGTGCGGGACCATGAAGCCCAGCTTGGGACCCACTGGGGCAGTGGCGAGAGCCAAGCAGAGGCTGAAGCGCAAGGGCCCATAGCGGGCAGGCTCCAGTTAGCGCCACTGCGCTCAGCGTGGTTCCCAGCCTGGCTGTGCAGATTCCTCGGAAAAATCGGCCCCGTCCCGCATCCACTAAAATGGAATCTCCAAAGGGGTGAGCCTGGGTTCTACTGTTAAACGCAGCTTTCGAAAATGATTGTCCCAGCAGTTGGGGAATCACTAGGTTAAT